AAAAAAAATTAACTCAAAATGGATCAAAAGCCTAAATGTAAGAGCTAAATATTTGAAACTCTTAGAAGAAAACAAAGGTGTCTTAGGTATGACACCAAAAGCACAAACAACAAAGAGAGAAAAATAAGTAGATTGTACTTAATCAAAATGAAAACTTTTGTGCTTCAAAGGATACTGTCAAGAATGAGGTCAACAGGGCCGGCCGAGTGGCGCGATGGTTAAGAACTCGCTTGGGATGCCAGAGGGCCCCGGTTCGGATCCCACATGTGAGGGTCAGTGACAGCAACTTGTCTGTTCCCCTTCCCCCAATTCCCCAATAAAAATCTTTAAAAAAAAAAAAAAAGAATGAAGTAACAGCCTACAGGATGAAAATCATGTCACGATAAGGTGTTTGTATTTAGACTACCTAAGGAACCCTTACAACTCAAGAATAAAAAGGTAAATAATTCAATTTAAAAATGGACAAAGTACCTGAGCAGACATTTCTCCAAAGAAGGTATACAAATGACCAACAAGCACGTGAAACGATGCTCAGCATCATTAGCCAGCAGGAAAATGCAAATAAAAACCACAATGAAATACCATCTCATACCCACTGGGATGGCTATAATAAAAAAAGACAGATAACAAATGTTGGTGAGGATGTGGCGAAATTGGAGACCTCAGACCTGCTGGTAGGGATGTAAAATGGTACAGCTGCTTTGGAAAACAGTCTGGCAGCTCCTTAATTGGTTAAACATAGTGTTACCATATGACCCAGCAGTTACACGTAAGAGAAATGAAAATATATCCACACAAAAACTTGTACGCTAATGTTCATAGCTGCGTTATTCGTTACAGCCCAAAGTGAAAACAGTCGTGAATGGAAAAATAAAATGTGGCATACCCACACAATGGTATATTACTTGGCAATAAAAAGGAGTGAAGTACTGATACCTGATAAAACATGTATGAACTTGAAAACACTGTTAAGTGAAAGAAGCCAGACACCGAAGACTACATAGCGTATGATTCCATTTATATGCAGTGTCCAAAATAAGCCCATCTGTAGAGACAGAAAGTAGATGGGTGGTTGCTTAGGTCTGGGGGTTGGGGAGAAATGGGGAGTGACTAGTGAGTATGGTATCTCTTTTTGGGTAATGAAATGTTCTAAAATTGTGCTAATGAGTTGCACAGTTCTGCATATACTAAAACCACTGAATTGTATACTTTAAATGGGTGAATGTGTGACATGTGAATTACATTATATTACATTATATTGATAAAGCTATTATAAAAATCCTTGCAAATGATTCCAGATGTACCAAAATATATAAAGAGTATTACATGAACACCACGTACCTACTACCCAGCTTGAGAAATGGAGTATTATTCATTTAGTCGAAGCCCCTGTGACCTGGCCCTCCCTGGTGGCTCCCTGCCCACCTGTGTCCTACCAGGTATCCTCTGTTCTCAGTTGGTTACATGTGATTTTCATCCCCATGGATTAAAACATCCTTCTTTACTGATCAAACTGTACCTGCTCTTTGAGGAAATAGACTGTGTGCCAGGGAGTCTTGGGGCTCATGGAGAGCATGGTTATGGTTGGTTTTGGGAGTCACCTGTGCTCAGCAGGGAATGGAGGCCCAGCCTGGCAGGCCTGGGCAGGAGATCCCAGAACTCTGGACTCCTAGTCAAGGTGGGTCTGACTCTGAAGTCCAGTGTTTGTCACATCGTAATAGGATTGTGGCAGTGAGAAAGCAGGCACTGCTGAGTCTGAGAAGTTATGCTGATTGCTCCCCTTAGAAAAAGAATGTGTACGATTCTCTGAGATCTTTGAGGACCACGGTGTCTGTTGTGTTGTGTATGGACCATGCTCATTGGCTCCTGAATAAAATGTCTGAGTGTGGGACAGTGACAGGCCTGGCGGTGGGGGTTGACAGAGAAACTTTCCCTGCTCTCTGCAGGGCTGTGGACACAGCAGGTGCTCATTTGAATGTGGGGTAAAGAGGTGGGAGGGTGAGTGGATGGATGGATGGATGGATGGATGGATGGATGGATGGATGGATGGATGAATGGATGGAAGGGCGGTGCCAGGGAAGGTGAATGACTAGATGGAAGGAGGGTGGACGGATGGTGGAGATAAGGATGAATGGATGCATGGATCAACAAACAGACGGTCAGTGGCTGGCGGGCTGGGCAATTAGTGGATGAGGAGGTCAGATGGATGCTGAAATGTCTTGGTGTCTTTGCTGCTCACTGCTTGTTATGCTTTGTTTTCAGCTTCGGGCAGCAGAGGTGGAGATCAAAGACCTGCAGTCGGAGTTCGAGTTAGAAAAGATCGATTACCTGGCCACCATCCGTCGGCAGGAGCGTGACTTTATGCTCTTCCAGCAGCTCCTGGAGCAAGTGCAGCCCCTGGTTCGCCGGGACTGTAACTACAGCAACCTGGAGAAGATCAGGCGCGAGTCCTGCTGGGATGAGGACAGTGGCTTCTGGAAGATCCCCAAGCCTGTCATCATCGAAACCTGCCTCCCAGTAGGTCAGGAGCCTGGCTGTCCCCTCGGCCCTCCCTGCCTTCCTCCACAGTTTGCCATCCTGCAGACTGAAAGGGAGCCCCGGGCCTCTCCCTGCTGGCTGTGGGTGCAGCAGACATGTGACCCCGAGATTCCAAACCATTGGGGACCTGAGAGAACAGTGTGTTCTGGAGTCAGATAGATGTGGGTTGGAATTCCGGCTCCACCACTCCCTGTGTGACCTCTTGGGATTCAGTGTCCTCATCTGTGAAATGGGAATTAATAACAGGACCTTCCTTAAAGATTGCTGGGTGGCTTAAAATGTGTTAATACACATAAAACCCTTAGAGCAGCGGTTCTCAACCTTCCTAATGCTGCGACCCCTTAATGCAGTTCCTCATGTTGTGGTGACCCCCAACCATAAAATTATTTTCGTTGCTACTCTATAACTGTAATTTTGCTACTGTTGTGAATCGTAATGTAAATATCTTTTTGTTTTCCGATGGTCTTAGGCAACCCCTGTGAAAGGGTCGTTCGACCCCCAAAGGGGTTGCGACTCACAGATGAGAACCGCTGCCTTAGAGCCATGCCTGGCACATCTTAAGTGTGTGGTACATTTTTTCTTATCATCACCATGATCATCATTTTTATCATTTCTTCCTACAACCACCCTGTGAAGGACAAGGATCATTACACCTATTTTACATATGAGGAAACGGAATCTCAGAGAGTGTAAGTGACTTATCCAGAGTCACAATCATGGCAGTGAGGTGTAGGACCAGGGATAGACACAAGCTGTTCAGGTTCAGGCCTGGTTCAACTTCTGCTTTTGTCACTGACCTCCTGTGTGACCTTATGACGATCACTGTCCCTTTCTGGGCTTTGGTCCCCTGATCTTCACAAAGAAGGGTTTGGATGAGATGATGTTGAAGGCCTCTCCACCTCCAACGTGTCTCAGAGTAAGGTCAGACTTACAGGGGCCCTTGCTGCAGCCACTTAGCTGGCTCTGCCCATTCAGGGAGCAGTAGACTCTTACATCCCACAAGCCCCCCATCAGCTCTCCCCCTGGTCAGAGTGTTTGTCCAGGTCCTACGTCTCTGATGTTTGTGGATGGCCCCTGACACCATCCCTGTTGAAGCTCCAGCCAGCTCCATTTCCCACCAACTACAGGCAGCCCCAGCCTTCCTCCCTGCCCCCACCAACCTGCTATGTTGCTGGGAGCAGGGGAATGGTTTCTTTGGCATCTGAGCTCTCCTATTGTCGGTTTCCCAAAGCCAGCCCTTTGCTTGGGCTAGGAAGTGTCCTCCCGGGGCTCCAGGCCTGAGCCAGGCCTGATCCCCCACCCCTGGGGAGAGTGCTGCCGCTCACTTTGTCCTTCTGGCCCTCATACCAGGCAGCAGTGACTTCAGCTTTTGTTTTCTCATAGCAGTTTCAACAGGGCCACGGAACAAAGCAGTCCGGAAAACCTCTGCAGCAGACAACGGCGAACTAGGCATGGTAAGGCCTCCGAGAGAGGGAGGGAGGAGTGGGGGGCTGGTGGGGCTTGGCTCCCCAGGTGTCGTGGGTCAGCATTACCTGAGGGAGCTGGACTCCTCCTTACTACACCCGCCCTAAGGATTAAATCAGAAGGCTGAGCCCGGATTCTTTCTGTGTAGCTCTGTTGGCCCCTAGACCCTCAGCCTCCTCCGGCCCTCATTCAGAGCCACTTATGGTCATAAAACCAGGTGGATGGGAGATGGTTCACGTCAGCCCATCCCCACTGGTGAAGGACAGAAGCTTCAGCTTTAGTTGTACATGCCGGCTCCCGGGCCCCCTGATGGCATCCTCGGACCAAAAAGGTCCTCAAAGCTTCCACAAACAGCAATCGGGATTCTAAAGTCACTTTAATTTTCATATCTGCCATATTTTGTATTGCAACAGGAATATATATATCCTTGATGCAGAGGTCAGCAACCTTTTCTGTAAAGAACCAGACAGTAAATATTTTAGGCCTTGTAGCCATGTGGTCTCTGTCACAGCTACTCAGCTCTGCCATTGTAGCCCAGAACAGCCGTGCATGATAATGTAAATGAACGAGCTTGACTCCATTCCAATAAAACTTTCCAAAAACAGTCTGTGGGGCAAGTTTGACCCATAAGCTGTAATGTGGGGATCCCTGCCTTAAACCATTACCGATATTTCAGAAAATCCACACAGGCCACGCCTGCCTTTGCAGTCATGACAAGGCCACTCGTAGGTTAATGAACTCCAGCATCTCTGGCTGAACAACTCAGGGCGGCTGCAAGGAATGTCTCAGACTGGTCTAAAGGTCCGACCGGCTACTTTTGTTAGCTTAACTTTGTAAAACAGGGAAAGTTGTTCCTGGAAGAAAAACATTCTTGGGACCACAAAGGGGTTATATTAGAATACTTTTAGTTCCAAGCGATACCCAAAACAAACAATCATAAGCAAAATAGGGAATGTATTGGTTTATGTTAAGTGTACCAGCTTTAGGCATGGCTGGATCTAGGGGCTCGAACAGTCAGAGTTCTGGGTATTTTTTCACCTCTTGGTTCTGCTTCCCTTGGTATGCTGGCTTTGGACTCAGGCAGGCTTTCTCCACTTGGCAGGAAAGATGGCTGCTGGCAATTAGTGACCTGACAGGAAGAGAGACGTGGTCTCTTAGGGTTTCCTTAAACCAAGGCTTGTGGAAAGATTCTGATCAGCTCTCCTCTAGGACCAATGACTACTCGTATGTCAATGTAGTTCTGTGATTGGTCCAGTTTGGGTCACATGTCTGGCTGTGTAACAAAGGGGATGGGCGCGCGGGAGTGGTGGCCTTAGGGCATTACGAACGATCACCCCACCAGGAAGATATCAAGTGGGAGAAGGGTAGTTCCCTGAAGCAGGAGATTCAGGTTGAAGAAAAGTCGACAACGGTGGTGAAAAATAATGGCTCTTGGTGATAAAAAGATTTGGACTCCAGTTCTAATGATCATAAATGTGCCCATGAGCTGAGTACTTACTGTATTACCTCTTCTATGAATATGTCCTGATGGGTTTAGGTGTGTCGTATTGTCCTTGCCCCTGATGGAGCTGTCAGGATACCCTGTTCTGAACTTTGCAGGAGGGAACAAGACACTTCCCATCCCAAGGAAGTGGGGTTGGAGGTGTGTAGGCTTGGCTGGAGACTGGGACTCCCCTGCCCTGAGCCGCCTGGATCCTGCCCCAGGAGTCTGGGTCTGTACAGGGTGGGCAGTGAGGCTCAGGCTTGCAGAGGCTGCTGAGCCCCGGAAAAGGGCCCAGATAAGAAGTGCACACATAAGGGGTCCTGCCCCATGAGGATTTGGCATCTCAGCAGGAAGAAGACCGCTACAAGCTGATGCTCAGTCAGAGTGACAGTGAAAATATTGCCAGTAACTACTTCCGGCCCAAGCGGGCCAGCCAGATCCTCGGCACAGATCCCATGAAGAGCCTCTGTGAGTGCCCTGCCCGCCTCTCATCCTCCAGCCCCTCCCCCAGAGCCGTCCAGGCCCTCTGCCCGCTGGGAGGGGAATGACGGGGTGGGCTCAGGCAGACCCGGGTTGGAAACCCCTTTCCCGCTCTGAGCCTCAGTTTCCTCAGCTATTAAAGGAGGGGGATACACCTATTTCTCAGGAGTAGGTGAGATGAGGTGGGGAAATGACCCAGAACCTGGCACATAGTAGGTGCTGAATACACAGTCTCCCCTTTCCTCTACCCCTTCGTCTCCTGGGGGAGAGGTGCAGTGTTTGATTCATCTGTCTCCCCTGACACGTAGTAGGCCTCCAACACACTGCTCAGGGCCCGGGTGTGGGGTTGCGTGGCTCTGGGTCAGTTACCCACCAGCCTCCTCAGATGCCAATATGGTGGTTTTCTCCTACTGAGCCAAGGCGGGCACACAGGGCCACAAAAGCAAAACGCTTTCAAGAGCAAGCACCAAACACCCCTTGATTCTTCTTTTTAAAACTAAAAGACCACAGAGCTTCCAATAAAATAATGAAAAGCACATCTCAGTTCTACATTGAGGTTATTTAAGAGTCAGAGTGGGTGGAGTTGAGCAGTAAGGAGGGAAAAGTTGGACAGGAAGAACTCACGCAACTGGCATTGTGCCCATGCTGCAGATGAGGAAACTGAGGCTCAGAGGGACGTGGTTCCCTGAAGAGGTGGAGCTGGGCTTTGAACCCAGGGTTGTCTGGCTTGAGATCCCAGGCTACCGCAGTCTGAGACTTTAAAACTCTGCACCCCCAACCCAGGCCCTGTGGACGCAGACGAGGTGCTGAACCTGAGGCCTCAGCCGGGGCTACAGCTTAGTGCTCGGGACCACCGCTGAGGCGCCTGGACCTCTGCTGGGTGGGGGGTGGGCCAGATTCTTCCCCCACACAATGATTTCTCTCCATCCCCTGCACCCCTGGTTTCACCAGCACCCTCTGTGCCTCTTCCCCACAGCACATCACAACTCGCCGCCAAGCCTCAGCTGCCTCCTCAGCAACAGCTCTGCCTTCCCACTCGCCCAGGCCCCTGAAATGCCCCAACCCCGGCCCTTCCGCCTCGAGTCCCTCGACATCCCCTTCACCAAGGCCAAGCGTAAGAAAAGCAAAAGCAGCTTTGGCAATGAGCCTCTGTGAACACAGCTACCTGCTGCCCTGCCGTTGGCCTCTGTGAGACTGCCAGGCCCTCCCAGGGCCGCCCCAGCCAGGATTCCTCCTACCTGCCCCATAGTGACCCAGGGGGCCAGAGGGGGCCCTCGCCCTGGGAAGACACATTCCCTTCCCTGTTCCCCAGAGAGCCCACTTCTGCCTGACGTGGGTGCCCCTCGGAGGCTGGACCATCCTTGGAGAGGTCCACCCTGGCTCTCCACGCCACTTCAGTGTTTCCATCGTCTCGCCTGCCACAGACCTGCCATTTACCCCACCAGTATGGTTTGTGCCTCGATGGGCTCGGAAGCCTCAGCTCAGCCTCAAGGCCTTCACCAGCAGCCCCAACAGAGTGGGCAGCAACTTTCACGTGGCTCAAGCTCAATATCTCGATGATTGAAAATTGTGCCTCCGTCCAGTTGGCCCCACTTCCTGGGGGAATCCCTGCGGGATGGGTACGTGCATCCTGTTCCCCCTCCTGCCCATTCCCAGCTGGTCTGTGGCCCAGAGGAGGCCACTCCATATTAAGCTGCCCCAATAAACTGCCTTTTACTTACAGGCTCCCCTTCCCTGATCCTGTGATACTGTTACTGGGGCCCCTCCTGCGACTGCTGCCTGCTGCCTGGCCTTCATGGGGAAGCTGATTCTGGAGGAGGGCTTCTTAATTATCTGAGGCCTTTAGAACAAACAGGCTGCAACTCCCTCAACTATGAGTACAAGTGCGGGCCCCCCCACCCCCGGAGAGAGCATCTGAACTATTATTAGATTTTCAAAGGATCTGTGACCCAGGAAAGCAGAGCCCTTGTCTGGAAAAATAGAGGCCATGTCTTGTTAAGGTCCAGGTTTTGTCAGTCCTCGGGGGCTGTTCTGGAACTGGGCGCCCTGACATGGCCAGAAATGGACTCAGCCCACCCCAGCAATCTAGGGGACACCGCTCCCCTTGCCCATGGTAGCCCAGGCCTGCCCTGCGGGAGGGGCTCACAGTCTGAGGGGAAAGGTTTGACCTTTGGAGCTTCACTCTGAGCCTCAGGTGTGAACTGGGGATAACAGCCACCTCATAGGGCTCATGTGAAGGTAAAATGAGACAGTAGCTAAAGTTCCGGTGCATAGCAGGTGCTCCGGGTTCGCCACCCCTCCCCCCGTTCCTCCTCCTCTGTATTTTATATTAATTACTGTGGCACATGCCACAAGGCACGTGCCTGGGCCAAGGACCTCACTCTCTGGAGAAGCTGGGGTAGGATGGAAGGTGCTTAGGTAACTAGAGATCAGTCTAACTGGAGGCAGGCTGCAGTGTGTACTCTAAGAGGAATGAGATCAGGTCTTTATGGGGAACAAATTACCCTTGTGAAGGGAGCAGCATCAGGTGGGGCTCCCTCAAAGCATAGAGAGGATCCCGGGAGGCTTAAGATGGGAATGTGGGGAGGAGGCTCAGGGTAGAGGGAGCTGCTGAGCAAATGGCTGGAGGGGTTGGGGGGTGGGGGTAAGCTGAGGGTATGTTAAAGGTGAGAGACCTGTTCTGGGGAAGCCCTGAGCTGGGGACTAAGTGGAGTATAAAGCTGCTGAGATGAGCTTAGGTGGAGACCTGAGAATGAAGAGCCTTTAGGTGTCCCTGAGCTGTGGCAGACTCCTAAGTAACAGGTTGGCACCATCAAGTCTGAGTTAGAGGTGGATTGAAGTCTTGGAGCTGCTTGTGGTAGCTTTAACTTAGACCTGTGGTGAGACTGAGGCAGGCCAGAGGTGAGCCTGGACCCTGTATCAATTTAGAAAGGGTGGGAGCCAGCATTACTGAGAGATTGCTCATCCTAGCCCTGCGCTAAGCGCTTGAAAAGCTGCTCTAGTCCTCCCAAGAGCCCAGGCTTTTTCAAAGGCACACAGATGAGGAGAGCTGCTTCTGGCTATCACTATTTCCAGCCTAGGGCAGTACCCTGGAGAGAAGTGAAATCCCTAAGTAAAAGGGCTAGTGGGAGACGAAGCTTGGAAATGAACCCAGCTAGAGCTTTTTAATAGCTAGTCTAGTCCACCGCCTATTCACGTTGCCCCCAGCGTATGCCACCAAGCTGGGCAGGGCAGAGGCAAGGCACCCGGGTCCGTCAGCGGCAGGAGACTAAAGTGCACCTGTCCGTTATATTTCCAATTCCTTCCTCTCTCGAGATGGTGGAGGTGAGGGTCTGGTTCCTAGTCCCAAGTCTGTCCAAGACCAGAGAGGACCGAAGAGTTAGTCCAGGGTGGCCGACACCGCTCCAGATCCCGTTCGGAACGCAACTGTCAAGACCAAGCTGGCGGGGACCAAGCTAATGAAAAGGCGGGCTCGGGGCTGGGGCGGGAGCCTGGCCTTGTTGATTGGCCGCGGCTGCAGAGCTGTCTCTCTAGCATTGAGCCTTTTCCTTTGGGGAGGCGGAGCCGCGCTCCCCTTCCGCCAATAGGGTTCAGAGGCTCCTCTTAGAACCCGGGCACTTCCGGTGGTGCTCCTGGCTCCCACCCTCCCAGCAGCGGCTCCGGGCGACCGGCCCCAGCGTTCCCAGATCACTTCCGGGTGGAGCTCCACGACCGCGAGCCGCGATTGGGTGACTGTAGACAGGGCATTTCCGGTGTCCAGGTGCTTGGGTTCTTTGGCCGCAGGAGAAAGATGGAGTTCCGCGGCGCGTCCCATGCTTGGTCCCTCTTGTGGCTGCTGCAGCTGCCCTTGCTTGTCCTGGTCGGTGCCAGCGGTCCCCGCACTTTAGTGCTGCTGGACAACCTCAACCTGCGGGAGACGCATTCGCTTTTCTTCCGGAGCCTGAAGGGTGAGACCGGGGTCCGAGAGGGCGAGGGTGAGAGAACCTGGGGTTGGAAAGGTCCCCGAGCCCGAGGGCGTCGGCCGCTCTCCCTCCCTCGCACTCGTTTTTCGCTAGCGGGCCGTGCAGGTCTGCCCTGCCGCTTGGGGGCGAGGGGGGCGGCGGTCGTGGTTTCCCTTTGCGTCCCGCCTGCTTCAGCTCCCTGTTTTCTTGTCCAGATCGGGGCTTTGAGCTCACATTCAAGACCGCAGATGACCCCAGCCTGTCCCTTATAAAGTACGGGGAGTTCCTCTATGACAATCTCATCATCTTCTCCCCCTCGGTAGAAGGTAAGGGTTGTGCGTCGCCCCCGGAACTGGGAATCGCTTGCTTGCTTCTGGATCTTGAGCATGTTCTGGGGTCACGGGATGGGTGACCAGCCCTGGGCACTGCTGCGGCCCGAGGAACATGATAAATTCTAACTTGGGCCCAGGAGAGTATATCTTCTTTAAAAAAAAACCCACACAGCTGAAGATTGTGGGGTCAAGTGTTGCCGCAGACTGTGGAGCCTGGGGCCTTGCTACTCTGAAAAGTGACTTTTCAATGTAAAGGGCCTGATAGGGAAGATGGAGAGCCCCCCGGTTGGGTGGGTCTGTGGGGAGAGAGGAAACGGCATGCCGTTAATGTGGTTTGCTGTAAAGAGGCACCGTAGTTGATCTTTTCGCATGGATTCAGAGTCCTCAGGCCGAAAAAGAACCGTGGCGATTATCTAGCCCAGCCCCCTATTTGAGGCTGGAAGGATATGTCCAAGGCCTACCAGAGGGCTGGCTGGTTGGTGAACAGAATGACTACCTTTACTAGATTATCCAATGGATCGATACTTCAGTATTCCTATGACAGGGAGCTTACTGTCTAAGAGACAATCCGCTCCACCATTAGATAACTCTGTTGAGAAGTTCTTACATTAAACTGAAATTTGTCTCCTATTTCCTGCTTCGTTTATTTGGGATGGAGGAGAGGACGAAGGGGCCTAGAGAGTAAGTCTAATGCTTATTTTGCTTGTAGGCATAGCCTTCACATAATCATAGCCTTTTCAGTTGTTTCTTCTCCAGACTAAACACCCCCAGTTCCTTCGGCTAGTTCTTTGCCATGCTTTTTTGGTGACCATCCTAGTCATTCTCTTCTTTTGTGGGTTCAGTTTATCTTTCTCTCAGAAGACTTAGGTTGTCTCTGGGGTAAGACAGGACTGCCATCTCTTCCTTCAGTTGATGGAGCTTAGGAAGTCTTTCATTTCATTGGCAGCCACTTTGTTCCCTGTAGGTCATGGGAGGTTGGATTCTGCCAAATCCCTGAAGTATTTTTCCCTAGGTTCTCATCACTTAATCATGTTAACCCCAGCTCCCCTGCAGCGTGTGTCTTTGGAATTGGCTTTTTGGAGGCAGTGTAGTTGGGTGGAAATTACCCAGATTGTACAAGTTAAAATGTTCAAGTTACTGGGCAGGTGGATGGAGCCTTTAGCGGGTTAATTGGTGTTTGCCAAGCTTCTGCTGTGTTTGGAACTCTGAAATAGGTTCTGAACAGCGACCGAGAGCCTGCCCTTAAGGAATGCTTTCGGTCTATCTTTGAGGACATAAGAATAAGGACTTAAGTGAGTTGCCAAATCCCGTGTGTGGATGTACATGATGGAGTGGAGGGACTGTCCGAGGTGTGCTCAGGAAGTGGATTTCTTGGAGAAGAAACGGTGGGTGAGACATGGAGAAGGTTGAAAAGACAGGCGGGAGACATGTCAGAGAGCCTAAGTCAGTGTTTCACAAACGTTACTCAACTATTTGTATACCTCCTCCGTGACTTTTGCCAGATTCCATATCGCCTGTTCTAATAATTACTTAGTAGTTTTCTTCAAATTGACTCGCTTTTTAAAAACTAAAACATTTTAAAAGGAAACCAGTAATGAACCCAGTATCGTCACGCACAATGGAAATCCAGTATCATCCCTTGCTTTCAGTAGAAGGTAACTGTAAATAGAATAAATATAGTGCTATTAAGTTCTAGCCAGATTCTGTTGCCTGCTGAAGACTTTGAGCCCGGGCTTCCTCTTAAAAGAGATTAGCAAGTATGTGGGATGTGTTAAAGACCAGTATCAAACTAAGACGTTCTCTTTGCTGGAAAAAGCTTGAAAAGTAATTGGGAAGAGATTATAACTGTCCATCTGAGATTCAACGTTATTTTAAACCCTATCACTGTTGT